AAAGCAAGGCTTTGGGCATGTTTTTTATGAGTATAAGAATATAACATGATATAAAACTCAAAAAAGTTGATTTTACATGATCTCGCCCCTTTAAAAATGGATGACCACATGAATGGGTTTTGTCCACTTGAAGGCACTGTTGCTTCAAATTCCTGCAAGCTAAAAATCAAAGTTTGCTACTTTTATAGCAGTGTTGAAATCGATGCGATTCTCTTCTTTCTGTGTCGCAGCCTTCACCTTCTGCCAGCAGTCGACTCCACAGGAGTACGAAGATCAGCGCGACGCCGCCACCTGTGAGGGGCTCCGACAGCTCCTCCGTGAGATTTCAGCCGACAAGAGCATGCCTGTCAAAGAGAGGAGGAAGCTCCTCAAAGAGTTTGAGAGACATCACCCCGTCGTGTTCCTCCAGCACATTTCCAGCACGTTCTGACAGCCGCAGTGGATTTGCGGGATCGTTTTAAATTCTGTGAGCAGCTCCAGAAAGAGAGGACAAACAGGAAAACCTCACTTATGTAGCAAAAATTGGAATACCAGCACACAGCTAATGTTTAGTATATAGAATAGGAATGAAAAAAAATGTGTTAATTTGTTCGTAACTTATATTCAGAGAAGCAGCTATAGATAAAATCTGAAATTGAGGAATGATGACCTAAAAATGGAAAAACTTGAAAAAAGTGACAATTGATGTTGTTTATATCTATATTGAAGTAATTTCAAAAGGGACTACTTAAATGAAACTTGAAGTTGCAGTTTGGCTGCAGCATTAATTGAATAGTTTTAATATTTTTCCCTATATTGGAAATGCTGATTTTGTATGCACCTAATGTTTTATTTTTATGATTATTATAGTACTACTTTAATCAGTACAGTCTAATGAGGCAATAATTTTTCTGCATATCAAATGAGGAAAAGTCATTATGTAAATGAAGATCTTGTGTTATGGTACCATGTTAAAAAAAACACTGGTTAAAAATGGAATCTCTAATGTTGATGTTTGTTGCATGAATCACATTAGACTCGTAAAGTGAAATGGTACATTAGAGCGTTAATAATAGCTCAGGGCAACATGTTTTTGCATGTTTTCAATATATTTACTTAGTAAATCAAATAATTTAAAAGTTGCTTGAAATGTAGACTTTATAGCTTAATTGAAAATATAATTATGATGTGGTGTGTTTTATGCTACTAATGTAATTTTTGGTCAAATACAACACTTGGACTTTTTCTTATTTAATGAAGCTACTATACTCCAATAATTTGATACCGATTCTAGATTTTATCTTTTTTTTTTTGTTGTTTTTAAACATTAAAATAAGATTAAAATGCACTTTATGATGTTGAAACATGAAACAATACATTCAATGAAAGTTCTGTCAAACAAAATATATATATTTTTGTGCTYGTTTATTTAATAATTTGAGTTCTAAATGTATCATTTGACTGATGGGGAGCTCTCAATAAATGCATTAACAAAACAACTTGCATTTCCTGTCGCATACCAGAAGATACTTTAGCAGGAAATTAGAGAGACAGCAAATTATTATTCTTTTTCAGAATGAATCACAATAAAAAAATTGGCAAAGAAAAAAAGTGCAGTACATCTCCTTAAGACAACATCTGAAAAAAAAATCAGTTTATGAAGATTTGGGAGATTGAAATGGGCTGAATTTGTTCACCAAAAAGCAGAAAGGATGACGTAGACGCACCTGACTACGTAAAAAAAAAACCCGGAAGTGGTGTTCCTTGTTTTACTAGCACGCTAAGCTAACTCAATTCGCTGCTATTGGAAAACATGGGTGCTGCGTTTCTTAGCCATTACTGACAGCAGTGGTGTCGACGGTGAATTTATAACGAGGCTGAAAACTGAAAGTCTTATTTTTGTATTAAGGTAAGAAGCTGGRGGTTTGTTGAAGTGGCAGCTTTTGAAATAAATTAATTGGTAACGCCGCTGTTTGTTTGCGCATTGCTGGCTAGTTAGCTTGAGTAGTTGACTTTCATCTCTTTATCTAATAAAAAAGCCTTTTATTCTACAGGATTGTCAGCTACATGAATATATCTCGAACTGGACGTAGGTTTAAAATGACATATAACTAATATATTGTCAACACTGGACTAAAGTAATAGATCGGACAAAACAAGGGTCAAGACGGGTTAACTTGGCTAACATTAATGAATTTCACAATCAGACATGGTCGACAATTATCACATATTTTTCAGCCTAACTCTAAGATACATTTTAATTTTCTTACAACACCTGGTTTAGCCAAATCAACCTGTTTGTAATAAGCTGTTTACTATCTGATGATTTTCTGAAACCTCGGCTATTTTCCAAACTGACATCACCACTTATACATTATGTAGAAAAGCAAATTGGATTCATTAAATCAGCGTTTAGTTCTGTTTTTACAATGAAATGCATCTTTATTCATGATGGACATAAACCGTTTCTGATGCTTTCAGCACATATTTCTGTATTCTAAAGTTAGTTATTTTCTGTTGATGTGCAGCAGTGGACCTGAATACTAATCCTCTACGACCACCACACTGCATATTTTAGTTGTTTCCCTGCTCTTCAGCAGGTTGTCAAGCTCTGCAGGAGCCTGTTAATCACTCATTAATTCAAAAGAGCTGTGTTGGAGCAGAGAAACATCAAAACATGCAGGATTGAGAAGCAAAAAGGAGAGCATTGTTTGCTAGAAGCGTCTTTTACCTTAAAATCAAAGAACTACAGACCCACTGAATTAAAAGAAAGAAAGAAAGAAACCTCTTAACAGTCTGTTCAATCTGTAATAAGTGTTTCATTACCAGCAGTTGTCTGACTTGTGACCCAACGTGCTTTAAAATCACTGATGTATTTTTTAGAGAGTCTTGTGCTGCAGGTGGGTTTGCTATGAGTCATGGTATATTCCTAGGGACATTTTTCCACAGTTAATTTTTTTTTTTCAGTCAGCACCGGTGGGCACTTTGATGTGCAAATTTTTATGCAGGTACAATAGAGTGCGTGTCTAATGGATCCTATTGGGGCCTTTGCTGAGTCGAGGGAAGGACTACAGCTGTCTCTGAGTGATTGCAAAAACTTGTTTCCTCTTTTTTTTTATCTGACTGCACTTTGTTTAAATTTCTTGGTGGTCATCATCTGTGTCTCGCCTCAGCTGCCAGGTCGCACCCAACCATGGAGTCGATGTTGAACAAGCTAAAAAGCACCGTCACTAAAGTGACAGCAGATGTCACCAGCGCCGTCATGGGCAACCCAGTGACGAGGGAGTTTGAGGTCGGGCGACATATTGCGAGTGGAGGTCCTGGGCTGTGCTGGAGGATTTACAATGGCAGTAAAAAGTCCACCAAACAGGTGCGTGTCTCCTCCGTCTTCTCTCCATGCTTATGCTTGAACAGAAGAACGATTTTACAACAGCGCACGTGCTCTGAAAGAGCCGAACTTCGGCTCAACTACTAATCTCAGCGTCCTGTTGATTTGCAACTCGTTAGGAGGTGGCAGTGTTTGTGTTTGATAAGAAGATGATTGACAAGTACCAGAAGTTTGAGAAGGACCAAATCGTCGATTCATTGAAAAAGGGAGTGCAACAATTGACCAGACTGCGTCACCCTCGTCTCTTGACCGTGCAGCATCCTCTGGAAGAGTCTCGGTGATTACCACTTTTATCAACTATATAGGTCGCAGCTTAGAGAGGGGCTTTGCATTTGAGAAAATATTCTGAAACAGTTGTTTTTTTTCTCCTGCCTGTTTGTGTCATGTTTTCATTCATTTTTGTTTAAGCTACATTCAAAGCACCTTTCTTGTTTTTCAACCTTTGCTGATAATACCGTCTGTCTTCATTGTAAAATTACGCTAATATTTGTTGTTGTTTCTTTTGGACCCTCAGAGACTGCTTGGCATTCTGCACAGAGCCAGTGTTTGCTAGTCTGTCCAATGTGTTGGGCCAGTGGGACAATCTGCCCAGCCCCGTGCCCAACGACATCAAGGAGTACAAACTCTATGATGTGGAGACCAAATATGGCTTGTTACAGGTGTGTGAACACACACACACTCGCACACACAGAACAGATTTTGGTTTCGCTACTGCAGATTTACTCTTTAAAATGTCAGTGTGTGTAAAACAAAAACAAAAAAAACAGAATCTACATGCGCAAAACTAAAATGGCGTTTCTTTGTCAAGTCGGCAAATTCCGTATTTATTCAGACTTTCTGTCATAAAAATAAGAACAGCATTAATGTGTGTTTCTGTCCATTTCTTCAAACTGATCTTTTCAATCTGAAATCATAACCACGTGTAAACACTAAATGTAAGCAGCTTGTGTGTTCCCTTGGCTGCAGACTAGTTTAGCAGGTTTTTATAATTGACTGTCTCCACCTATATAGACGCCTAAGCTTTAACATGGATTTCTTTTAAACCAGTTAAACCTAAATTATTTCACATTTCTTGTCTTTTATACAATGTCTGACAGGATAGTCCTCATTTTTTTTTATTTCCTTTCATTTGTTCCTTTCTAAAAGCACTGTAATAAGAGTAATGGATGTCCCAGTTTGACAGTACAGCATAGTGCTTGGCAGATCGATTCAAAGCTGAATTCAGTGCCAAACTGAGTCACACTGACAGCTGGTTTATCTTCGCTTGTTGCTTYGATTATAAAATGTCATTTAGCATCTGATCAAATCTGACTGTTTAGTTTGACAACAGTATATTTTGGGATTTGTTTTTCCGTCGCTTCAGATGTCGGAGGGTTTGTCGTTTCTCCACGGCGGGGTGAAAATGGTCCACGGCAACTTGTGTCCAGAGAATATCATCCTCAACAAAAGTGGAGCCTGGAAGATCATGGGCTTTGACTTCAGCATCTCTTCTAACAACCCTTCAGACCCTGAGGTATCCGTGTAGTTTTTGATCAGGAAGGCAGTGAAAAGCTTTTGGTTTTACTTCATCAAACATCTTTTATGTTTCGCTCTCATCGTGTTTCTTATAGCCCAAGTACACATGTAAAGAATGGGAGCCCAACCTTCCTCCTCTGTGTCTCCCTAACCCCGAGTACCTGGCCCCTGAGTACATACTATCCGTCAGCTGTGACTCTGCCTCGGACATGTACTCTCTCGGTGTGGTCGTACATGCTGTATTCAATGAAGGCAAACCTGTTTTCCAAGTCAACAAACATGATATTTTTAAGAGTTTCAGCCGGCAGCTGGACCARGTGAGTGCTTAGACAGACCTTTTCAATACGTCTTAACCTATTGATGTTTGTATTTTTCAAAATACTTTGCTTCTCATATTTGGAACAAAGTGCTACAATTCAGTTTTACGGAGTACGAAAATTTCATTTTGCAAACTACAAGTTTTTAAACTTCTCTTTGTGTTTGCAGCTGAGCAACATCAGCCCAGCTCTGCTCAACAAAGTCCCAGAAGAAGTGCGGGAGCACGTCAAGATGCTTCTCAGCGTCTCTCCAAATGTCCGACCCGATGCCGACCAAATGACAAAGGTTTGTTTAAAAATGGGGGGAAAAATTCCACCTTTTTATGTTCTTTTGTTTTTGTCTGGTGGATTACAAAARTGTGCTTCTGTTTGGATTTCAGATTCCCTTTTTCGATGACGTGGGCGCAGTCACCCTGCAGTACTTYGACACCCTTTTCCAAAGGGACAACTTACAGAAATCCCAGTTCTACAAAGGTCTTCCTAAAGTGCTGCCCAAGCTACCAAAGGTAAMTACAAAACAAACGATTGCATGTATGAAAGTCATTACAGTTTTAAAATCAAACTCTTTCTTCAACCCCCCACAGAGAGTTGTGGTGTATCGCATCTTGCCGGCGTTGACTTCTGAGTTCGTCAACCCAGACATGGTTCCCTTCGTCTTACCCAACGTGCTGCTGATTGCCGAGGAGTGCACCAAGGAGGAGTACGTTCGCCTCGTCTTGCCTGACCTCACGCCTGTTTTCAAACAGCAGGAGCCGATCCAGGTAGAGCTGCTTCGCTCGCACGGAGAGCTTTTGCTTGTGCACGTTTGAGATAACGGGCTGTTTTGCTGTTATCTAAGTCACTAATTAAAGCCTGACAAAAGAGCATGTGGGGTTTAGGTTCAATTTTAAGTCTTTTTTTTTTCTATTTTCTTTCCATGCCTCCTCAGGCTAGTAATATGGTGAGTGGTTTCTGTGGTGAATTGTCTTCTAGCACATCAGCTAGCGTTGTGTGTTGTGTAGTTGTGGCACTAACATCTGCACTAACCTCCCTGAAGTCTGCATACTTACACTTACCTCCACGCTCCTGTTGAAGATGGGCTCATCTTTTTTTTTTCCTTTTTCGACTCCTGTTTTTCTACCTTTGCCACGTGTGTTGCAGATCCTGCTGATATTTCTGCAAAAGATGGACCTCCTCTTGACGAAGACTCCTGCAGAGGACATCAAGAACAGCGTGCTTCCCATGGTCTACAGAGCCCTCGAGGCTCCCTCAGTGCAGATCCAGGTACGGATGAGAAACTAAGGATTTTTAATAAACCCAGATTTGTTTTTAGCCTTCCAGAGAAAACCCTTAAAATGATTGTTTTCCCTCGGGGTATGCTCAGTTCTTGTCCTTATGCTCTTCTTGGCATCGTGACACCTGTCACACTATATAATGTCTTCTTTGTGGGTGAGCAGGAGCTGTGCCTGAACATCATCCCAACGTTTGCCAACCTGATCGACTACCCGTCCATGAAGAATTCCCTCATCCCCCGAATCAAATCAGCCTGCCTACAGACCTCCTCGCTTGCTGTGAGTCGGCAGTGATGTCATGTTTTGCTATTTTTTTACTCGCATTAAATATAAATTTTCGTTAATTTTCGTCCTCACTTTCCCTTAGGTGCGAGTGAACTCTCTAGTGTGTCTGGGAAAGATTTTGGAATATCTAGATAAGTGGTTTGTTATCGACGAGATCCTWCCTTTCCTTCAGCAGATCCCTTCTAGAGAACCAGCAGTACTTATGGGAATTTTAGGTAAACAAATCAAAGCCACGTCGCTTCATTTGTTTCACTCAAAAAATCTCTTGATTTCCTTTTAACTACTTGTTTCCTCTATATTTTAGGGATCTATAAGTGCACTTTTAGCCACAAGAAGCTTGGGATCCCCAAAGAGCATCTTGCCACCAAGGTCTTACCCCACCTCGTGTCTCTTAGCATAGACAACAACCTCAACCTTAATCAGGTACRTTTCATTTTTGCATATTTAGTACGCCATACGACATTGATGTTAAATGTCCTGTTTTTAGTTTCCATTTTTCTAATCCTCTCTGTTGTTTCTCAGTTTAACTCTTTCATGCTGGTTATCCGTGACATGCTGAGCCGCATGGAGGCTGAGCACAAAACCAAGCTGGAACAGCTCCACATCATGCAGGAGCAGCAGAGGTTTATTATTTATTTTTTACACTGAATAAACTTTTCATTTTGATCTCTACTGAAAGGCACAGTRTGTAGGATTTTGTCAATTCTTTTAGCCGAAATTGAGATAATCACAATCACTAATGATAATAATAAAAATACGTCTAATCATTGCAGACAAAGACCTTGTTTTATTATTTTTACCTTATAAAAAGCTGTTTATATCTCCGTGGTCGCGGGTCGCCACTACAGGCAGCCGCCATCTTGTCTACGAAGGCTCATGAAGGACAAACTGTGGTGGCGGCGTCAAAAACTGTTTTAGTTGTAACACTATAAATGTAATATTTGTTGTCTGTCATTGTAGCTGGGATAATTTTACTTATTAAAGCTCAGAATCTTACTACTTGAAACATCACTAGCCCTGAAGCTGCTGGTAGACATCGCGGTTGGAATTATCAAAGGTTTTTGACACCTGAGAGACACCGTAGCAACTCCTTTGCGTTTGGAAGCGGGGGGTGGGGGGAGGACCAGGGGTTAACTTCCACTGGAGCATTATGATCGTTGTTTCTTATTTAACAGGAGTCTAAACATCTCAAATCCATCGAGCCAATCCGATGAGACAAAGAGCCCACCCAGCTCTGGAAACCAGGTGAGARGTTCATTCCATACATATACTTTGAAACATTCTCCCCCTGAAAAAGCAGTGAACTTTACCTTTTTTTATTTGCTGTCAGATTGATGACATATTTGGCAGCACGAGTGTAAATGGAAAAGAAAATGGATCTGCTCCACCAACCTCCCAGCCTAACAGAGTACGTACTCTACATCCCACATTTGTATGGAGAAATGTTTGTTTCAGTTTGTYGCACAGTTGGTGTAAAGTCTCCCTCTCTGCCTTGTTGTGGCTTCTAGATGTCTCTGACTCTGGAGGAGAAACAAAGATTGGCTAAAGAGCAGGAACAGGCGGCCAAACTGAGGAGCCAGCAGCCGTTGGCACCGCAGAGCATCAAACCTGCAAGCACCAGCAGCTCACAGGTGAAGCCTGGGAATATTTTCCTGAAACGGCAGTTCTCAAACTTTACACGACTTTACGCTCCAGTTTGGAGGAGGAAATATAGAAATAAAACAAATCAAAATTTAATTTGTACACAGAAGCCCCAACAAAGGCAACTCAGTCATAATAGGAGAAAATCTGTTGGCTCAGATTGTGCTAATAGCTCGTTAGCTTGTTTGTCAGTTCATTCTTTAGTTGCTGAAGAAAAACACAAAAGGGCAATTTTGCACACAAGTGACTGAAATGAGCCATCTTCCAAAATTATGGCAAGTCATTTAAAATAAAAAATGAAACTAAAAGCTATTCTTTTTAAATAAACCTTTTTAAATTATGAAATGAATTAAGATTTCTGCCTTGATTTAAAAGACATCCACCCAATTAAATATTAAATAAACTGGCCTAGTTTTTAAGTTCACTAATAATTTATGACTGTGCAAATGCTATATTTCAAATCCTTTAGTTTTTCTTTCTTAACATTAAACAACAAATAAAAGTCAAAGTTCTTGTAAATGTTTCAGAATGTAGCAAACAGTTGTTTAATATACTTTAGTGTTTATTTTACTCTTGTATTGGTTGTTATCATTTATTTAAAGTTTCATGTATGTTTTGTGATTTTGGATACATTTTATGCATTAGGAGCAGAAATAGCTCCTTTGACTGTAAAACCTTCTTTATGTTGCAGACGAAGGACTTGACCAGCAGTCTTCTCAACAACATGACATCTTTGAATAGTCTGTCTTTGGCCAACTCGGCACGATCGCCCCCAGTGCAGGGCGCCACCATGTCTGCCTTCCCCACCTCTAACCCCATGGTTGGTTCCATGGGCGCTCCGGTTTCTAATGGTTTCAACCCACCAATGGGCTTCCAGACAGGAGGCATGGGGATGGGACCARCAGCTCCCGGTTTCTACGGTGGGATGGCCTCCACCACCAGCGCCCCGAACTTCGGAGCCCTCACGCAGACTCAAGCACCAACGGGACCGACTAGTAAAGCCCCGGACATGTCAGCCCTGGACAGTCTGTTTACAGCCAGCAAACCCAAAGTCGCTCTCAACCAAATGGGTCCAAAACCCACCCCTGGAGCCAACACRCCTTGGATCAGTCAGTTCACCCCTGCCCAGAACGCTCAGACTCAAATGCCGGGCATGGCGGCGGGAATGGGAGGGATGTCCGGTGGGTTTGGGATGCAGGCGAACCCCTTTTTCAGCCCGCAGAACTTCTCTCAAGCAGCTGCCGCCCCGACAGTGAACCCAAGCGGAGTCAAACAAAGTGCGTCTGTGAACAATGATCTCAAGGACTTATTTGGCTAAAGAGAACATCAGGTGTGAGATTTTAATAACTGTGAAACACGATAGCTTTGAATTCTCACAGAACAAGACACTTGATGATTGRAGTACTTTTAAGGGTCGTATTGTTTGTACTTTTATGCTCACTTGGATTTAAAGTCTGACTTGTGCTCACATTCTGCTGGAAAATGAACCTGCACCTGATTTCCATTTCTATTAGATCAGAAGAAACAGTTGGGATTTGTTGAAATCCTTGGGGTTGGGAGGTTTTCCTACTGTTTTGTACTTGACATTTTTGGGGCATCAGAGTGTTGGGTTAAGATTTAATTCGGTTTATTTTGAAAGGTTTGTGTCTGTTTTGAGTTGTTTTRTTGTTTTTGTCAGTCGTATCGTAAAAGATTTTCAGGCTTTTGTGCTTTTCACCGCTTCTCCGGAACATTTTGCTGCACGTCTGAAGTGATCAGAATGCTTGGCTACAGAACAAAGACATCATCCATCAAAGTGTCTGAGTCCAGGGGGAGGTATACTGCAGCCACTGATCTGCATCCAGGAGGTTCTTTTGTGGAAACAAATCAAATGCGAGTGTAGAAAATTAGCTGTTTAAATAGGACCCAAAAAAATAGAGCCTCTTTTGTAGTGCATCTTCACGGTAACCCATCCTGTGCAACCTAGTTATGTTGTTTGGTAGCTCGGAAAAGAATTTGGGAGTAAAATTTGTATCTGCATCCTGTCATGGAGGCAGTAACGAGCAAGCCCACTGCTTTTGTGATTGTGCCTTACAGGGGTACACGTGTAAAGCTAAACTGCACTCATTTTTTAAATCATTTTCTTACCTCATCTGCAAAAATATATATATTTTTTTGTGTCTAGCGACCAATCACATTAGATTTCTTTTGAGGAGATGCTGAGGACCTCGGGGGTCCTCCATTTGTTGATCAGTTTTATGAAATAAAGACTATATTTCTACTCTGGCACTTTTCAGCTCTCCGAGGACCCCGTGCTGGTGTCGTACATTCGTATAAAGTGTAAATATGCAGTTATTTAAAAATTATTAGCTCTGTGAGGGCCTTGGCATTCTATTGTTTTTGTGATTCTGGTTAAGAGGCCTTAGATGAGTCCAGTGCAATAATCCTTTTGTTTGTTTTGGTTGAAGACACAGAACACATGGCTGAAAAAGCGCCTAATGTATCCTTAATCAACTCTTCTGCCCTTCAGATTTTAACAGCTAAACAGCAACTCATTCCAGATTTTAGAGAATCATATCTTTTTTTGTTTTGGTTTGATGCACCTTGCTCTCACTGTTACCGTTTTATTTAATCGTGTTAAATCTATTCCACCAAAACAGGGTTTATTACATGTTTTAAACCTGTCGGATTCTGTTTTTCCCCCTGTACATGTGTGTGAGTGGATGTTTTTACACTCGTCTGTCTGGATTTCACCACTTACTGAATATAGTGGTCAAAGTGTTGCATATTGTAGCAGAGCCCCAAAGCAGATCTATAAAGTTGATTGTTTTTACAGAAATCATTTGTAAACTAATGTCTAATGTGTTAAGTGTGAGCTTTCTTTGGTGTGTTACTGAGTTGGTTCAGTGGAGACCTGTACATACATATAAAAAAAAAGAAATACACAATCTAATATTCTTAACTGATGGTCATTATTTGTGTGTTTACGTGTTGGAGTTAAAGAAGGAAAAGCAATGATTGACTTTATTTTATGGTAATACAATAGTTTTTAAATAGACATTTTCAAAAATTATTAATCTATAATCAGGGTTGCACATAAAATGTTTGGTCTGGTTCTCAGGGGAGAACCTAGGGTTGTTGCTTGGTGCTCATATTTTTCCATCACTCATTTAACACATTTATCTATAGGGGYGTCAGGGCATCTAACRTCCCCCYGTTCTGTTTTATGACTCCTATTAGCTGCGACGTCTCAGGACATCATGCCAAATCAGTCCAACATGTTTTTAATTTATTCTTTTACTCTGCATAAATTTTGTAAACTACCTAAGTGTCCAACGGGCTGGGTGTATGTCATATAAACATCACAAACTGAACATTTCATGGTTAAATGTCTTTTAGACTAACAGATGGACAACTCCTGTTTGGTCTTCTGSATCTTCAGCCTTGKTTAAACCAGCTTTCCACACTCTCCAGACCAAGCAGCAAATATCTGTCTTTTGCACAGAGCAAAATAACTTAAAACATACAAATGTTTTATTTGTTAGACTGATTTCTTTTTTTAAAAGACTATTATTCAAAAACATATTATTTAGATGGTTTCAGCTCATGTCATTATTTATTCTTCATATTTGATCATTTAATAAATTACATTTATCTCAGAAAAGCTGTATCACAGTATGGTCCTAAATATAAACAAGTTTAGCAAATCAAGAACCTTGTTTTTTATATAAAAYTGTGAATGAAATTTGTGGATCTTTATGATAAATTAAAATAAGATTTAAAACTCTTTCACCTAGAGAACATGGCAAGTTGTTTTTATTTTTTAAATATATATAATGTTTTTGACTGGGGTGTAAAACAGAGAATCATCTTTGCTTTAATATGGGGTAAACAAATGTTCTTAGTTAATGTGGTTTGAATCTCACAGACAGCTTCATACAGCAGTCTCTCAGGAGGAGAGTTTAGTCACTCACACAGAGTTGGACAGAGCTGATCAACAACAACATTCTGAACATATATTTAATATAAAGTTAGGTTTTACAGACCAAAGTCTCTGGTAGTTCAGGAGCAAGTTGCAGGAGAGGAGAAGCCAGGACTGATCGCGTCGCTGCTGCAGCTGGAGTCGAGCCGGTCCGCTGCATCAACCAAACTTGCTCTCACTGAAAGTCCCGCCCTGCTCTGCTCTGATTGGACAAAACAGCTCTGGACTTCGTCTGATTTGTTGAAGGCAGTGTCCGTTTAATCAGGGTCCCGCTGTGGCGCACCGAACAACTATCCATTCACACCAGTGCCGCTGGATTTTTTATTTATTTATTTATTTATTTATTTATTTATTTATTTATTTATTTATTTATTTATTTATTTATTTATTTATTTATTTATTTAAGAAATCAGCAAACTGGTCGCACTCTAGAGCCCTGCTAGCTGTTGTTTTGACAGACAACCAGGTACAATCTTAGGTACGCAGGGGAGCTTTATGACGTCCCATCTGGTGTGCTTTTTCCTTTTTTGACAGCGCAAGCGCACCTGCGCACTGCTCATGTACACCTGTCTATAAAGCTCTTATCTATAAAACTCCTCCAAGAGAACAAAGTGCCATACAATACAGTAAAAAACTCAACAAGGGATAAAATCATAAAAATCAACATCCTAAGATGTAGTAAAAGCCAAAGAATAAAAGTGGGTTCCAGTAAAGAATTGAAAGGGGCTGAGGCCTTTCTTAGCGTTAAAAAAAAGCAAGTTCCATAATTTAGGGCCCAGTCCTGCAAAAACCTGATCCCCTCTGAACTTACACCTGGTTCTGGGTACATGTAGAGGTGTATATTGTTGTAAAAGCTCAAAGTTAGAGAGGGGCAAGACTTTAATGATTTAAAAGCAAATAAAATAATTTAAAATTGGATTGGTAACCAGTGCAAGGGTTTTAAAACTGGTATAATCTGATGAAATTTCATTGTGCTATCTGTAAACAAGCAACCATAACTCYGATCCCCTGCATACAAAGCATTACAAAAGTCCAGCCAAAGTGTAATATGGCATGGCTCACTATTCCAAATAGATGCTCTGGAAGAATCTGTGTAATTTTAGCCAGAAACTAGATTTTACCACTGCCTTTATCTGTCTGACTAACTTTGATCCCTGAGGTAGATAAATCTGTGTGTCATCTGCATAAAGTGGTACCATGCTTCCTGAAGRCTGAGGACAAGAACAATGCTCATTTGGTCTTATGTGGTGCCTCTTTTTAAAGCTTTGCTTCAAAATGTTTTTAATGTCAAGCCATTATTTGAGGGATTAATATGTTTTGCTTGTGTCTGAATGTGTTTATGATCTGAAACCTGAACATTCAAAGACACTTAATGGTATGATTTGTTGTAATTAAAACAGCAGTTTTGTAAACCCTTTCAACTGATGAAGAAATAAAACATCTTGAGACGGAAGTGCAAAATCGGACCAGGCAGTACCAAGATTGTCCCGATCTCGTCGTTTCAGTCACTGGACATATCGTCTCACTGATCTGACAGTGTTTGTGGACAGGTTCGTCTGAGTCCAAGCTGCAAAAAGACACACGTTTAGATTTGTGGGTTAAAATGGAAAGTCTTACGTCTGCGTTTGCCCCTCACATGAGAAGTTGAGCTCGTAGCTGAACCTTTTGGTGGTAAATGTCATCAAGCCTGACGGGTTCTGCTGGTACTGGAGCTCAATGTCTGAACTGGACACGCTGCACTGACCGTGTCTCTGCAGGACACACAGCAACAACACATTAAAGACAATCTTAAATCAAAAAAAGTTAATGTTCACGTAAAACAAAAAGCCGTGGCTTACTTTAGTATACTCTTTCCACATCCCATCTAGATCTAGGAACTGCCAACTTGGGCTTGAACTGAAAAYGGGTAAAGATTTTTATATTTAAATCTTAAAAAAATAAGAGCAGATGCAGACGTTCAACACAAATTGGAACAGTTGCTTGTTCTCACCTGCTGCTGTTTTGTATCCCACCGTCTGTAGTCCTCCTCACTGATCTTGTCGTTCCAATTTCATTATTGATTTGACACATACCTGTGATTAAACAATGTTTCATTTCTACCCTCAAAAGTGTGGTCAGGTTGACTTAGGTGAGGAGCTTTGTGTTTGTGTTATGTGTGTGCGTTACTGGAAAAATCCAACGTGTATGTGTATCTGTTGATCCTGAAGTGTAGCTGGCCCTGCTGGTTCAACTGGTACTGACTCTCAATGGCACCACTGTCGAACGAACATATCTGCAGACATGCAAACAGCCACAAATATGGGTTTAGGGAGAAATATGTGCATCCCACCAACATTTCAATAACCTACCAAAATAAAGTTGGCTGGAAATGAAAGACCAAGCATTCCACAATCTCTGGGTCGGGTTTTAGATTAAAATCATTTTGTGTTGAGAAGTGACGGAGATGTAGCCATTTTGGTCAAACCTAGCTGGTACCAACATGAAATTTGAGCTCAATCTCTGTTATTTTTATTTTTGTGTTGGATGGACTAGTCATGGCTGCCACMTTGATATGAGTTGACTCCGAAAGCGAATCAGCTGTATATGTGAATAAAACAATTACTTCCTGGAAGTTTCTCAATATATATGTTTGTAACTAACAGAAAGTGGTGCGCGATAAGGATTATTTATGTGGACGTAACTGCAAACTGTTGCTAATGTTACAAAAGTTAGAGGTATTTAAATTTTGGTTTATTTGATTTAGAAGTACAAAGACATAGTACGTACATGTGCCTGGTATTCTGTCCATTGTCCTTCATCGTCCATAAACTCATACTTAACGCCTTGAGACAGCTGGGGCGGTGAGGACAGAGACCGGATGGGGGTCAAGTAAAGTCTGTGGAGACATAAGGGATTTATAACCCAAGACAAAAATAAAATAAAAGCTTAAGGTGAAAATAAATTTGAGGGATAGTTTCATTTTCTATTACTGGCATCTGTCTAGACTCTGCAGCCTGCAGCTCTGGGGCCACATGCGGCTCTTTGGTCCCTCTGCAGTGGCTCTTCAAAAAATGTGACCAAAAATAACAAAATATCTTTTTTGTACACTCACAATAGAAATCAGTTTGTATGCAAATATGTGAGCAATACTAATGATACAGAATATAAAATATGTTAGCTAATGCTATCCTGTTGTTTACTTAAATAATCCAATTTCTTTCTATGATCTTTCCCTCAAATCCATCAGAACTACCTTTAAAGAATTTGAAGACTGCATAATAATAAGAATTAGAAAAAAATATGCCTGAATATTCCAGTTGTCCTAGTTTTTATGAAATTCGGTGTATTACAGTAGCTATTTTTCTTGTTTACATGAATATGGCCTTTTCATTTGTCCTGATGTATTAAAAATAATAAATAATAAAATGTACAATATATTTTTTAGTTTTATAATGTCATCTCCACTGGCCGTAAAGGTTGCCGAAAAGGCCTCCAAACGGCCCACGGACCACCAGTTGATAATCATAGATGTAGCTTGTTTTGTGGCTCTGAACACATTTTATTAGTGAGCCAGGTAGCAGAAATGGCTCTCTTGATCGTAAAGGTTGCAGACCCCTGATCTAGACAGATGTGGATTTTCTCGGGTCTCTGTTTGAACCACAAGACTCACCCTGCAGGGTTGGAGGTGAACTTTGGACGCCTGCGTACGTTTCTGCTCAAGCCTGTGACGAGGTTGCTTTGGGTCATGGCTGCAAAGTTCAACCCAATCAGTCAGATTAAAAAAAAAAAGTAATAATAAAACGTCCCTCGTGTAAACATACAGGAAAAATCCACAGAGTATCCCACAGTGCCCACTGTGAACCGAAGGGATCCCTGAGGGTTTAGAGCAAAGTGCCGCTCAATGTCTGTGCTGCWGATGGAGGATGTTAACATGCTGGAGTTCTGAGGAGGAAGAAGGACACGTCAGCATGTGAGAACCTTGAAAATCAAACGAGTTTAACACTTCCGATCTAACCTGAGCTCCGTATTCACGCCACAGGAAGTCGTCTCTGTAGTACCAGCCCACGTCCTCCGTCAGGCCCTGAGGGAGGAGGCTCCGTCTCTGCACTCCCAGAGCTGGATTATTAATCTGCAACGTATCAAAGTCTATAAAGACCTGCCTGTGGAAACACATACAGGACACAGGTTGACATGTTTATTCCCAATTGCTCCTCTTTTTTTTTTTTTTAATAAAAAAAGGCTGTATTTAGGATCAAACTGACCCTTGTTTTGTGTTGATGGTAATGCCTTTTGCTCCCGGTTGGCAGTAATGACGTTCGATCACATGATCATTGTCAATTCGCAGCCATTGATTCCCAGAATACAGCTGCCACTCATAACTCTTCCCACTGACTGGTAATAATAAAACCATAAAATCCTTTTTATATCACATAATCTGATTAAATGTCATTTTTCTACTACTTTGAGTTTAGTCCTTTTTATCTATTATGAAAGTGGTTWAAAAACTAAGCCTATAAGCAAGAAATTCAATTTAAAAAAGGCTAAAAACTAAGTTTTGACCTGCAGYGTCCTGATAAATGTTGACCTCTTCATATCCCTGCAGGAAACAAATACAAAGGCAACACAGATGACAGATCCATGTTCAGCTTTCTCAAACTCAGAYTGAGTCAGACTTACCCCTGCCTGAGGAAGAGCCACTGCAACAAACAGGAAAATGAATAAATTAAACACATAATATCCATTAATTACACGTTCATAAAGACAATTCAACAGTCTGGTTCACTCACTTCTTTACCAGGGAAGTAACTTCATTCACTGAAGTTTCACTTTCTTTTCTGTATCTATTTATATGTAAGGGAGGGCCTGGCTGTGGCAAGYCCTTCTGACATATAATAATTTTTAAGATATCGATAATTCTACCGATTTAAGATTATGTTTTTTAGTAGCAAAAACTGGCATTAAAGACATCATGAACTTTTATTTTAAGATCCTCACAAGTGAGTTTGCATTTAGGAATAATTAAGTTTTCAAATTTTCAAAGAAMTATTAAACATTTAATTGCAACGTCATCTTCTTTGGGTATTTCCATAACTGTGGAAACTTGGCAAAACGCCCATTAGCAGTACATAATGTTTTCTTTAAATGTAGACGTTAAAATATATGCTGTACATTTTGGGCATAAATATTTAGAAAACTGCAATCGCAACCTAATGATATATTATATATCATRATGCAGCATATACGYATGTTGCTTTACTGTTTCAGTATCATATCATATTTTCCTCTGGAAATTTTAATTTGAATAAAGCTTTTAGTAAGTAAGTAAGTAAGTAAGTAAGTAAGTAAGTAAGTAAGTATGTCAGTCAGTCAGT